CTGTGGAACCATGTGTTACAGCTCGGTGTTACAGCTCAGTTGTGACAGCAACCTGGATGCGGGTGCACTCAGACAGTTCAAGAACTCAGGTTTATTACGCCAGCAGGCTCAGAAGGGTTAACATTCCAAGCTCTGGACCCCATGTGTAGGTTTACACAGGCCTTTTATAGGCTGCCAATTTTATACTTTGCAACATCATATGTAAATAAAGTACAACAGAAGTTGACCAACTAGGACCAAGCTTTGTAGAAACAGACCAATCAGGAGTGAACTCCATGCAAATGAAGTACTACAAATGGACCAATCAGAAGTTAGGGAAGTGGACCAATCAGAAGTGAGAGTAATAACCAATCAGGAGTGAGAGTAATAACCAATCAGGAGTGAAGGAAATAACCAATCAGAAGTGAGCTCAGTGAACCAATAGCATTTTAGGTGTAAGTTAGCCGCTTTAGAGGCAGGCAGTGAGATAGAGCCTCTGGACCAGGGAACCGGACAGTGCTGGGAGGAGAGGAGCAGCCCTGCCTAGGGGTCCTGCCGGTCTTTTATGGGGCTTCCCGCCTCACTGCCATCTGCAAGTTGGAAAACCAGGCAAGTCAGTGGTGCAGTTAGGGTCCGAGTTCCAAGACCTGAGAATTCTGGGTTGTATGGTGTAGGTCCTAGTATGTCCTAACAACCAAATTGCTCATTTAAAATTGGCTAATTTTATTTTTATGGAGGTTAATTCTGTTTTTAGTGAATTTACCTCAATAAAGTTGACTAAAAAGCAAAAAATAAAATAAGAAAAAAATATTATTAAATTAACTCCCCATGATGTAGTTCTATGTAGCAAGCCCTTAAAGATAGGTGTTTAAAATCAGGTGGAGTGTTGGACTGGGTGTAGAACAGCTGTGGTGTTTGCATGTGCTGGGTGAGTTCCTTTTGGATAGTATCTTGGGTTTGACTGCTTATCTTGAATTCTCTGGAGAAGCAGACAGTGGTTGTCCCGGATATTTGCTTTTCCCTTGAGTCTGTC